GAGAGAGAGAGAGAGAGAGAGAGAGAGAGAGAGAGAGAGACTACAACAAAGCAAAGCATTGATTCCATTACGCTGGTATTGATTCGATACCAAGTACCATCTTGGTATCGACAGTATCGAGTACTTAAATCGATACGCCCACCCCTAATCGTTGGGGCCCTGATTCACACAACATTGCATTCAATGCTTAGTTACTGAAGCTCCCAAGAATATATGATTCTTTAAACTCGGGCGCAAACATGTTTGAAAGGATACAATTCGCTGGTCTTGGTACGCCCACTTCTGTTTCAGATACTCAATGAGGTTGGAAACTTTTCTGTGGAGCTCCACCACCATCCTGTGTTGGAAAAGACAAGACAAAACTTTTGAGTTAGGATTTGAAGAACAAACTACCCTCACGATACCTGAATATTTATACTTTTTAGCTAAATATAATACACACACTGCCTGGCTCTAAAATCACCACCTGGATTTAACAAAGCACATAAGTAAGAACCTCCATTCTGAAAAGTAGTTTATCCTCAACTGAATGTCTGAGAAGAAGTATCTGATGCTGTTCCAGAGCGACGGGTGCGTTGATCAGATAAGAGAAGCAGCAGATGCATCCATCACACGTGATATTAAGTGTTTTAAGATGATACCACAGTGAAAATGAGCAACAATCAAAGCTAAAGATGGTCCTAAAGAAATACTGACTTTTTTTTGGCAGGACAGAATACATTTAGCCTTTCTGAGCAAGACTTTGAGAATAATCTGTGCTTTTAAATGATTTGAACTGTTAATAATAAATATATTACAGCTGATTACAMTTAAGCAATTTTTTGTTTTGTGTGGCGACGTGTTCACGTGCTTTCTAAAGAACAGTGCTCATCTGTCTCTTTTCACATCACCAAGTATGAATTARGAGACTACCAACAGTTTTAAATACAAAAACAGCTTTTAGTAGACAACCTTTATAGAGGGTGATGTACAGAACTGCTCGGCYTACTCGGGGAACATTAGTTAATAATCGTGCTTTACCTGAGGCGAGGATTGTGTGCCAGACTTTGAACACGAGCCCAAGAGTGGTTACTGCGAGGGTGGAGCTCCACCGCCACCTTCAGGGGCAGACGCACRGGCTTCTGGTCTTCTTCATCACTCACTCCTGCAGTAAGATAGAGACACCACACCTCAAAGACAGACACCAACTTAAGTTCTCTTCAAGGCCACAAGGACAAAAACTCAGGTTTTAGCTCTTTTAAAATAGAAATTCAACTGTATTGTCTGTAAACACCAAATAGTTGTGCTTCTAAATGTGTTATCATTAATAAAGGATATATATTACAATATTATTATAATTATAATAAAACAAGTCTGACTAAAATAGTAATGTCTACAAAGACTTTCAAGACTAAACAGTGTCTCTGAAGTGTCGAGTGTTGTATGTTTTGTCTCACACAATATTTAATTTAGCTACAAAGCCTGGTGGGACAGAGAAACTTTCCCTCTGCCACATTTTTGTTAAAAATATTTTGCACTGAATGCTGCAGTCCAACAGCGCCGATCTCGCACAAACTGTTAGACGACAGATCCTGGTTTCAATTCATAAATGGGACAAATTATTTTCCTTCRACGTGCAAAATGGATGTTACTGAGGAGGAAGATTGACGACAGCTGGCCAGAACAGTCAGTTCGGCTCTTCTTCACGGTCCACATATAGTTACTGTGGAAACACGACTGGCCCACACACTGGAATTGTTTTTTGGCTAAACCCAGCCCCCACAGACCCTGTGTCTCACCATTTCTGTTTATTTGTGTTCTCAGGCCGAGACATTGATTTGTTTTGTTTTAACTAAAATGRTTGTTTGTGCATGCGGGGACGCTCACCATCTGGATCACAGAGTTTCTTCAGTGCCCGGCACATGGGGGCTTTAATTCGCAGGTTTCTCCCTTTGGAGCGCACAGTGGTGGCTCTGAAYGAACAGACAATGATGCAAATCCTTTTAACTCAAAGTCCATAATATCCCCGCTCTACTTATTTCTGTTCCTGCTATTAATACCTTTTTTTTTGCTTATCAAAGTTTTTTTTACCCTTCTAAAAAAATACTTGTTTTTTTTTAAGAACTTACCCTTGCTGGATGAGTTCATTTAGCTTTGCTACATTCTTTTCATCCATTACTGTCAAAGACAAAACAAAAAGCCAGAGAGACGGTTATGTCATTGTCTTTTAGGGGGGCAGCTGTCCTCTACAGCAGCTTTAATCACATCCCTGGTGTCTCAACCAAACAGCAGCARGCAGTGAAACCTAGAACAGCCTTCACTTACGTCCTCCAACTTTTTTGCGAAGCTCGGCGTAGCAGATAAGACCATACAGCTCCTGAGAAGATTTCTTCAACACYCGAGAGTAGACTGAAAATAAAAACGGAGGCACAAGTCAGGGGCAGGCAGGAGATCTGTGCGTGCTTCTTAAAGATAACATGACGGTGGCAAAATAATCTCCAGTCATGGGTTTAGCCTTATTTAATGTTACTCTTTAACGACATTTATGATAAATAAAACACAATGTAAACATGCTTGTAGGATRGAGATCTAAGAAAGGTAAGATGGGCAGATTGTTGATATGTGATTTACACATATTGTTTACTTAATACTACTTATCTGTTAGAAAACAAACCAAAAATGGAGGTTTTAATATCCATAAATATTTAAGACAGGAAACCTTAAAAATAAACTGGATATCTTGATCATGACCTTTTATGAAAAACACGATTTGCGGTCCTGTTGAGCCATATTTTGTAGCTGTTGTTTTTKTTTTGTCTGCTCCCTTCTGCAGGGATTTGCTATAACGAGCAAACTAACCCCAATGCCCTTCCTAACGCAATCTGGACTCGAACCTGCAGCCTCAGGATTACAGGACCGCAGAATTGGCCACTGAGTMACAGCAGCGCCCCCACCCCCCCGGTAATCCATATACGATCAGAATATACACGAGTGATACCAGATAAATCAAACAGCAAAGTTAGACCAGACTGTAAAATTCATTCACCCTCCATATTTCATCAACACCCGACAAGTTCCGTGACAGTAACGAAGAGARGCTCACCGTTGGCAAAGTCGATGTGTTTGGAGATCTTGTGCCAGGTGCGGTAGTAAAAATGTCGGACCTGCTCTTTGTTTTTCACCATGTTGGCCGGCTTGCCTCTCTTTTTGTACTTCATCGCAATGTTGTTCTGGATCGCCTCGAAATCCTTCCCATGCTGAAAGCAAACATAACAAAAAATAAACATAAACGTTCARGAGATCCTTTTGGTGGGAAATGTGCCACTTCAGTTCGCTTTTTTTAGTCAGCTGCACTTTTCACCTCATAGAGCCCCTCAAAGAAGCTGTTTTTGTCCTCTGCGCTCCAAGACTCCCACTGCCGACGGGCTCTCTTCTGGTTTCCAGCTTGCTCCTCCTTCTCGGCGGAGCCTTGGCTCTTGGATGCCTTGGACACCCCTCCTGCGGAGCCGGCCACAGACTGTCCCACGGACCCATGCGAAGAAGAACCGTTCTCTGCCCCTGCGTCGTCCAGAAACAGGGAGTTACAAACTCACCAAGAATTAAGGGTGGAAAAAAATGCAACCAATTTTAAAAATGACAGGATGAACATTAAAAAACTGATACCTTAGGTTTGATTTTTGAGATACTAAAATAACACAAAGCTGCCCGCTGCCATTACAGCACACAACCTGCAAAGCACCCTGCTTTTTTTGTAGTTCAGCTCTGGCAGGGAGGCAGGAAAAGCAATCAGTCCCTATGGCCAGGTCTACAGAGTACAGATCCAAAACCGGCTAACTTCACTCYAACACAGAGCACAGTCAGAAGCATTAATGCATATTCTCAGACAGTTAATGCTGCATCTATAAAACGTATTTAACGCTTAAAAAAGGTGTTCATTTATAAAAGTGAACATGTTTGTGTCATCCGTGAGGGTCTCCTCTGAAATAGGTGTGCACTAATATAGCATCATGTCAGCGTAAGTGGAGGTTTTGTGGTGGAGCTGTCAGAACGATTTAAATGTTCTGTAAAACAATTAGTCGCTTTCTTTTTGCCAATAACATTAAAAATACACCAGTCAGACTTGTCAGAGCACACTAAATTTATCACACTCTGAACATTTATTTATGTCTGATTAAAGGCCTATCCATTTATAGTTTCTCATTCAAAAAAGAAGAACGGCAGCTGAGCCAAAATAAACCGACATTTTTTTTTTCCTCCCACTGAGCCGGTGCCCAAACCAAATTCGCTCCAGCTACAAAGACACTGGTTTCTGACTGGCACCATGTCAGTAACAGGGTTTCAAATGAACAGATGGTACCACTGCTATAAGTTTCTCACACATACTGGATGGTTGTGCTCTGGTCCCACCCCAAGTCCTACTTATCTGCGTTCCTTCTGAGGGATGGAACCAAAACCCAGAGGATGAGGCCTCATTTGCATGGGATACATTAGCAGACAGCATCACTCTGTTGTGTGTCCGTTCCCTAATATTGCCACGGTTAAGGCAGATGTTAAAGGAAATCAGCCACTAAATTAAATAATATCCATCTGTTAAATAAACAGTGACTGGCTTTGCAGCTCTTAAGGTTGAGATTTCATCACTGGTGTTTTCTGGTGATAAGAATGAAAGTGAAATGTAAAATGTAAGCATTAAAATTTGTGAACTTGTGATGAACTGAATCGATCTTTCTGGAGTAATGCTGTTTTTCTGTCCCTGTTTAAATCAAGGGTCATCCTAATATAAATATAGGTTCTGGCCTTTCCTACTTTTTTACAGGTTCGTGCTGTAACTTGGTGCTGACGCTGCCAGAAGTGTTGTCAAGTGTCCCAGGATTAAAAAGCAACAAGGCCTGAAGGTAAACAAACTGCACACAGTAGCGCTGCAGAAAGTGAGAGGAGACCCCCGCTCCTGTGTTGATCCCACCTCTGTCCAGCTGTCTTTTGGACTGATCAGCCTCTGTACCTTTCGATTTGCCTCCGCCGTGTCCATTGATGGTCGATCCGACTGAATCCTTCCGGATCCGTTTGCTCGGAGGTCGGACGCTCGACCGGAGAAAATGATGCTGGTCGTGACACGGAGGGGCGGGCTCCGTGGAGGTGTTGGGCTGCTGCTGGTTCGAGTCCAGCCCGGTTCGGTTCGGCGGAGAGCTGGGGGGAACCGGGGCAGGACCGGAGCCGAGACCCGCGGGTGATGGATTAAGTATTTCCACCCGGTCGTCTCCCTTTGTACTGCGCTCCTCGCTCGCCTGCTCTCCGCTCTCCTCCTCGTCGCAGCCTTCGAGCTTTCTGGACGGATTCCGCCTCCCATCGACACCGATCCCCTCCCTGGAGCCTGGTGTCATGCTGCCAAGACACATTCGTGGGGGTAAAAAAAATTGTCACGTTAGGGGCGAAGCTGCGAGTGAAATTAACTTCCAAAGACGACGTTTACAGTCTCTCAACATGGCCGCCGCTGTTTGTTTCAAATCCCCTCTCCAGTCCCGTCAAAACAACACCAAATATARGAATTTAACTCGCTGAAATACATCAAATTCAACAACCAAAACTGTTTAGAGAGCGGCGGCTTTGTCTCGCCGAGTGTATTTGGCCGCTAGCGAGCAAAAAAACACCTGGATAATTTGAAGTAACATTTAAAAGCGAGCGCTTTTCGGTTTAGCGCCCTGCAGAAACGACGACGAGAACCCCTCGCTGCATTCGACCTCCAAGTAAAGTGTTTGTTTCGCACATATTTTTACCCATTTTCGAGCTCTTCGGAGGCAGGCGACGTCCTCTTTCTCTTCACCATGAGTCCGACCGCTCTGACGGGTAACTGCTGCTCAAATTGGACATAATAAAAGCCGAAACCGAGGCTCTCCGATCCCTCTGCCCTCTCGCTCCGGCTGCGACTGAGCTGAACTCTGCGCAGTTCAACTGTTTTCTGTCAGCATTACTCAACGCTTCTTTCCAACAACATTTAAAAACAGTAAAACAACACTCACAAATATGAAACAGTCGATGCCAGAAGTGGACAAAAACACTAAACTCACAGCCAGTTCGAGTCATTTGAATTGATTGAGATAGAAACTTATATTGATCCAATTTATCTGCGTCACCATCAGGAATTCTCTCTGTAATGTAAAATATTTCAAGTACATTGTGAAAACACTAAACGACCAAAKTCATTTTCCTTTCTTTACAATAAACTGAGAGGACAAAGGTGTGCGAACTATAAGAAGCAATTAAGACCAAGAGTTTTACTTTTCTATAACAGTGATAAAGTGCATAAACACCACAGTTTTCTATTACTGTTTGCAGGCTGCTGATATCCTGCTTTATAATTATCCATTAATCACCAGAAAACAGGTAGAGCAAACTGACAACAATAGGAAAACTTAATGAATATTTCAACAATTAAAACACAAGTAGACTTAAARAAGTGGGAATTCGTCCCTTTTATTCTAAACCGCATTAAGAAAACATTAAAACCTTCTCATTTGTGTCATCTTAAAGCTATCAATCAGATGTATAAAATACAACTTAGATAAATAGCTGAAAGAGTTTAAAATCAACACATAAAAGTTGTATATTAAGCTCGTGTTGCATGATCAGAATCAGGTTTATTGGCCAAGTAAGTTGACACACACAAGGAGTTTGCTAATATGATATTAACAGACATGTGACGCATAAATATAACTTTTTCTGCTTCAACAATTTGTGTCAAGGGTAGCATGACTTTGATATAGAACATTACACACACAAGTTTATTTTCCACTCATGAAATGTTTTACTATTAAAGCAGCTTTGAGATTCCAGGGTTCTATGACACATTTTGTTAAAAAGTCAGCAACGCTTAATAAGTACCAGTTTGAAATGCTTTTGTGCTCACAGGTGATGCTTACTTGTTGTTATAAAAACAGGATCTACTCCATCCGTCTGGCAGTGTACCTGCTAGCATTGCTGCTACTGTTGGTTAGCTAACGTTAACGCAGACGAAACCAGCTCTATCGTTACGAAAACAAATCTCATTACATAATAAACGTTGTTTTCATACATATTCTAACAATGTTTCGAATACGGATAACACCAGCAGAGTATGAACTTTACCTGAAGTAGAAGTTTGCCAGTAGTATTCCCAGTCGAGAGGCGGACTAGCATTGCTAGCCCAGTACCGCTGACAGCTCCCTTGGATCGATTGTCCAKGCGCTTTGGCACGCCCACCACAACTCGAAAAACAAAGCATGTGATTCGCCGAAATACGAGAGGGCGGTAACAAACCGTGTGACTGACAGAAGGATTCACCAATTGCTCGTCCAAGAGACTCACAAAGAAACCAATTGTCAGTCTCTTCCTGTTATGCTCTGTCATTGTTTTCGAACTTTTAAAACGCAGAAATATTTAACTCTTTAGCTTGATCATCTGATTTGTTTTGTAATTAAAGAAAACTTCCAAATTACTTCATCTCGAAAATGAAAGTAAGTGGTAAAAAAAATCGTTACCCGCCCAGAAAATGTGGAAGGAATTCAGAGGTGCGTTTAAATTAGTCATGAGCGTATCCAGATTGGGGGGCGGGTTAAAAACGCGCTACTTACGGTCAAGGTCTCTACTTACCTGACTTAAAATAAAACTAGTTCATTGTTTTAGTCGTCACTTTTAAGTTTCATGTGAACTGGTTGCAATGTTAAATATGTCATCGTGTAATGTGAAACATGTCGATGGGTGAATGAATCAAGCGCACCCCAGTTTGGCTATTGACCAATAACATTTCTCAGTGTCACAGTTGGGCGGTGTCACTCAGATTCTTGGGGAGTTTTTTTTCTTTTTGGGCAGGCGCGCCGCGGGCAAGCAGGGGTAGAAGTTGCTGGGTTGTCTAGGTGGCAGGGGGGAGAAAAAAAGAACAACGAACTTGTCTCTGGAAACTTGACGGCTCCCAACAAAACCAACATGACTTCGACGAACATGTTTCAAGGCTTGGGTACAGACTCAAAACCAAGCTCCAGGTAACACATATAGCTCCAAGACGGTCCTGAAAGTGTACGCCCGGTTACTGTACAGATGTTAACAACATGTCTATTCTGCTATCACTTTTATGCTAATATTTCAAGCCTGCTACGTTCTGTTCGTTGGCCATTTTTTAAAAACGCCTTATCAGAGTTTAACTTAAGCGATAGCTATTAAAATAAATCGATAGCCTTCGAGCTATCAGGCGTTGTCTGCTGCGGAAGTGGGGAAACACACTTCGGACAGCTCGTCTTTGTATCTTCTTTCAGCGGCGTCGTGGTCACATTGTTCTTGTTACACGAGTGTGTTTTTTACGTTACGACAATCACTGAAACGTACCACCTCAGGAAAACGTCCTTCCAGCTAACAAACACGATTTTTCTTTCAGACATGCAGTTTCATTCCCGGGTGTATAATCAGATAACCTGTTATTTAAGGCTGCTGCTAGTGGTGGCTGTCACATATTTCGAGGCAGATTACACATAATGCTTACTTCTCCTGAACAACAACAACAAAAAAAGACGTTTTACCCCTGAAATTTGAAATATGTAGAAAATAACACTACTTATTGTTTATTTTTAGGGCCAAAAAATAGAAGTAATAAGGTCAGAAGTGGCCTCCATAAAGATTTGGCACAATTTGAAATAATAAATCAACGAAAAACAGGATTTTGTTAGTGACAAGGAGCAGCCTTTTTGTTAGTTTACAAAGATGGTGTTTTTTTGTCTAATAAAAGCCTTAAAAAGTCCTGAATAGCCTAAAAAAAACCACAAGATGTCTAAGTTACTTGTGTTACTTGACCGGTGAGGTCACTCAAAATAAGGTTAAGTTTCCAAAACAATCTCTTTGTTTGTTGTTACCAAAGACGCGAGAAACCTCATCCGCACACCGTTCAAACTGGGGATAAGTTAATGAGTCATTTTATCTTAATCAGACAAATGCTTCAGTGTTTCCAACTGACCAAAACGTCTCAGTAAATTGCTGCAAGTTTGGACAGTGTACTGGATTGTACATTTCCTCCTCGTCTCAAGGAACGTAAAATATTCTCAAAAACCCAGCTTCAGTTCTAAAAACATCTCCATCCACACAGGAACACCAAAAAATGATACAAAACATTGTCGTGACCATGCCAGGCCTGTATGTGGCGCTCTAATACTACCACAAAAATATGTTGAAAACAGGAAACAGTTTTTTGATTGTGAAGTGTGACACAATAATTGAGTTCCACACGGTCTCTGAACTCCTCCATACAACTGAATGTTGATTTACATGGTAACAGCAGGGCTGCTTGACACTCCTCTTATGATATTTGTTATGAAGATAATGGAATGCCTGGTGTTCAGTCTGTCATTAATTATAAACAAGTTAAGTGTGTCGGTGTTTCACTTCAGTTTATGGCCCTTTCATTTCTTTAGCCAAGTCACAATGGCCCTCAGAAAAAAGGATGTCATAATAGTCTGTTTCTTTGTGTGTTAGTTTCCTTTTCAGGTTTTCTTGTTTGTTTTTATTAGTTCTTGTGTTTCTGTTACTCAGTGTCTCCTGTCTTCTCCCAGTTAACTACCTGTTCCTACTCCCAGTCAGTCCAGTGGTCCCCAGTATTCTCATCTGCCCTTCTTTATATATTCAGTCTTCTGTCATTACCGGTCTCTGTCGCTTGTGTTGGATCATCCTTCATGTCTCATTGAGTCTGCCTGTATTTTGGGTCCTACTGCTGACAAATATGACAGGATGCTGCTCACCTGTTTTCAGGGAGAGATTGTTGATCCTGTCGGTGTATTTACAAAGTTATCAGCATAAGCCTTTGATAGATGTCTGCCTCTGATCATAACTTTTATTGTTAAAACAAATCTTTTGTCCGAGTTAATGGAGTTCTAACAGAACGTGCTGTTTTGTTTTTGCTGTTCAGGGTTCTGCGGCCTCCTGGCGGTGGCTCCAGTGACCTCTTTGGTGGCTATGAAGATGATTCAGCACCGTCAAGAAGACCTAATAAGATGGCCTCCAAAGTGTTCGCTCCACCAGAAGAGCCTCAGAGTGTTTCCAGACGCTCCAATCCTCCAGGTCAGTCAGTTTTGGGGATAATGAGTCCACGCTGTGAAATGTGGGACTTAAACGTGATATTCCAGTGTGAATATGTGGACTCCTCTGTGCTTGCACACCTCCACATTTTGTGAAGTATTTGATAAAAACCACACAAGTTTTGATTTAAGGCTTCTGTTGGAAAAGTGTCATTTTTAGATGTGAACTGCTGAATCCTAACGTTCACTGTTRTCTCTGTGGACACTGTTTTTATCTACTTTTTTCCTATATTTTCAGACTTTGGTAGAGACAAAACACACGTGATCTTGCACAGGACTCATTTTTTGTGAATTTGTGTTAAGTGTCATTAAGACGGTGTAATTGTGACAAAGTATAAATATCTCTTGGTAACACTTTGTGTAGGCGGGAAGAGCAGCGGGATATTTGGTGAAGCTGAAGCTCCAGTTCAACCACAGAGACCTGCGCCTCCCGGTGGAGCAAGCAGCGGCATTTTTGGGTCTGCAGAGAGTGTGCCTGCTCAAAGCCCATGCAAAAGCCACCCAAATAAACCAAAGGTAGGCCATAACCCAGTTTTATCATTTACAGTGGGGAAAATAAGTATTTAGTCAGTCACCAATTGTGCAAGTTCTCCCACTTAAAAAGATGAGAGAGGCCTGTAATTGACATCATAGGTAGACCTCAACTATGAGAGATAAAATGTGAAAAAAAAATTGAGAAAATCATTTTGTCTGACTTTTAAATAATTTCTTTGCAAATAATGGTGGAAAATAAGTATTTGGTCACCTACAAACAAGCAAGATTTCTGGCTGTCACAGACCTGTAACTTCTTTTTTAAGAGGCTCCTCTTTCCCCCACTCATTACCTGTATTAATGGCACCAGTTTGAAGTCGTTAACAGTATAAAAGACACCTGCCCACAACCTCAAACAGTCACACTCCAAACTCCACTATGGTGAAGATGAAAGAGCTGTCGGAGGACACCAGAAACCGAATTGTAGACCTGCACCAGGCTGGGAAGACTGAATCTGCAATAGGCAAGCAGCTTGGTGTGAAGAAATCTACTGTGGGAGCGATAATCAGAAAATGGAAGACATACAAGACCACTACTAATCTCCCTCGATCTGGGGCTCCACGCAAGATCTCAGCCCGTGGGGTCAAAATGATCACAAGAACGGTGAGGAAAAATCCCAGAACCACAAGGGGGGATCTAGTGAATGACCTGCAGAAAGCTGGGACCAATGTTACAAAGGCTACCATCAGCAACACACTACGACGCCAGGGACTCAGATCTTGCAGTGCCAGACGTGCCCCCCTGCTTAAGCCAGTCCATATCCAGGCACGTCTGAAGTTTGCTAGAGAGCATTTGGATGTTCCAGAAGAGTATTGGGAGAATGTCATATGGTCAGATGAAACCAAAGTAGAACTATTTGGTAAAAACACAACTCATCGTGCTTGGAGGAAAGTGAATGCGGAGTTGTATCCAAAGAACACCATACCAACTGTGAAGCATGGGGGTGGCAACATCATGCTTTGGGGCTGTTTCTCTGCAAAGGGACCAGGACGACTGGTCCGTGTACATGAAAGAATGAATGGGGCCATGTATTGTGAGATTTTGGGTGCAAACCTCCTTCCATCAGCAAGGGCAATGAAGATGAAACGTGGCTGGGTCTTTCAGCATGACAATGATCCCAAGCACACTGCCAGGGCAACAAAGGAGTGGCTTCGTAAGAAACATTTCAAAGTCCTGGAGTGGCCTAGCCAGTCTCCCGATCTCAACTCCATCGAAAACCTTTGGAGGGAGTTGAAAGTCCGTGTTGCCCGCCGACAGCCCCAAAACATCACTGCTCTAGAGGAGATCTGCATGGAGGAATGGGCCAACATACCAGCAACAGTGTGTGCCAACCTTGTGAAGACTTACAGAAAACGTTTGACCTCTGTCATTGCCAACAAAGGATATACAACAAAGTATTGAGATGAACTTTTGTTATTGACCAAATACTTATTTTCCACCATTATTTGCAAAAAAAATTCTTTAAAAGTCAGACAAAATGATTTTCTCAATTTTTTCTTCACATTTTGTCTCTCATAGTTGAGGTCTACCTATGATGTCAATTACAGGCCTCTCTCATCTTTTTAAGTGGGAGAACTTGCACAATTGGTGACTGACTAAATACTTATTTTCCCCACTGTAAGTCAGGAAACACCAGATTGTAGGATAATTTATTAAAAATGATTTGTCCAAATTAATAATGTAAAACAGGCCAACAGACACACTCACCTCTGAGTGACATTTTATCAAAAAGCTGGTAAATGAGTTGGAACAACTTCTTTTTCATATATTACATTATTTTTTTCACTCTGGTGGACAGTTATTATTTGCATCTCTCATCAGAGAAAATGTTTAAAATATTTATTGACAAAATATCTGAAATGACCAGAGTTATCAGATGGATTTTTATGAACATAATATTTCCCTGGGAAACAAAACTTAAGACACATCAGTAGTATTTTTTTTCTGTCCTGCCATCAAATCCAAAACAAGTCCTTATTTAGGAAATTACTTTACAGCAGAATAAATAAATTAAACAGAAGACAGAAAACTTGACTCGGCTGCATGTTCAGCTGCAGGAGTTTTATCAGCTGACGGTTTCTTTCCATATCAACAACAGATTACTGACATATTCAAACCCAGTTTTCTGTTGTGCTCAGGCAACACGGGACGTGGTGGGGACTCGGTCCGTCACAAATAATCTTATGGACCAAATAAAATTGTAACACAGGCTGTATTTTGACTACAGGCCTTTAAGTTTGAGACATAATCTCAACTGTCTAGAGGAATTGGCTGTTTAATGTCTATTTATTTTTCTTTTACTTGGATTGGTGAGGGGTTGTGGTAGTGTGATGGTCAGTGCTGTTATCTCATAATCCAGAGGCTCAGGTTGCATCAGGAAAGGCATCTGGCATTAAAAAGCATTAACAAATGTTTCATATAAGTTTGATCACTGAAGAAGGGAGCAGCTGAAAGAACAACTTGGATCATTCAGAATGTTAAAGGAGACCAATTATGGGTCCTAGAAATGTTTATGGTATGTCTGTGGTCTATCAGACCATGTTCATTCAATTTAATGCACAAAATAATTCTCAGATAATTAAATTTCTCATTTTCTAGTTCTGCCTGCTCTGACTTCTGTTCAGAAGAGCRGTTTATGTTAATGAGCTCTGTTGGTAACGCCCTCTAAAAATCTGTTGACATTAACTCCGCCCTCCAAAGCCAGCGTTTATGTTAGCATGGCTAATAATAAGCAGAAGCTCCGTTGTACAACCATATGAGAGACCCAGAGGCAGAGTCGTGGTGGCAGTTTCTTTTTTTTTTTTCTCCCTCCTCTGCTCTGCGCTCACTCTGCATGCTGTTACCAGAGCAGGGAGCAGCAGCGGTGAAAATACCTCAGAAACTTGAACAAATAGGCTTTAACAAGGCTTTAATGAGCTAAACAATAGAGGTACATGAGAAAACGTGTTCATAATGAATGAAAAAAAAATAATTAAATTGTGTCCGTGCCGGTCCTGAACCCTGGTCTCCCACTCTCTGTTCCAACACTCTGCCCATTGCCCTATTGGAGGCTTGTTGTGAAATGAGCTGCGCACTGCACAACAACAACAACAACCCTGATGGCTTTTTATATTGAGGAGGTGSAGTCTCACCCGGGGGTTGCTAGGTAAGAGGCTGAACGCAGGTTCCGGTGGGTTGTCGTACGGCTTGTGACATCACAAAATYACAGAAGTATAAAACTTGTCGTTAATATACATTAAAAATACATTTACTTACAGTAAATATGCCCCTGGGTGTATTTTCTTTGGTCCTAGGACTGATATTTTAAGAAGTACATACTCAAAGTTGAGTAAAAAAAAAACCTTTAAAAAGTGAATTTTGCATAATAGGTCCCCTTTAATCACTCCAGCAAAAACATCTTAATCTGTAATTTATTTTGTTTTAAAGTCTGCTAATCAATTTGATCTTTTTAAATTTTCTTCTTGCAGGACAATCTAACTGTGAGACCGGAACCTGAGTCACCAGGTAAATGAATGTGGATAACTTTTTAAAGGTTACAGAGTATTTAAAAGACATTGGTTTTACAGTTAGTGGTGAAATTAAAGGAACTTTTTCTTATAGTTTTGATTCACTGACATTTTTATTCCCGTCAAACATCTATGATTTACAACTCGTGGTTATAGTTGGAAAAATATAAAAACAAGTTTATAAAAGTCTCAGAAACCCAGGAAGAACCAGTTGTTCCTCACACATGAGAGAAATGTAAATAGCTGCAGCAGATGCAGTTTAATAAGGTTTCCTCTCTTCTTCAAGCTCCTGAAGCCAAAGTCAGCCAACCAGAGGTGAAGGAGGAGGCTGCTCCCCCGGCTCCTGTTCCAGCCAAGGAGGAGCCTGCAGCCGTCTCCCCGCCTCCACAGCCCAAACCACCCACTACAGCACCCGACGAGGAGCTGATGAAGAGCCACGAGCCTCACCTGGGACCCAAGCCTCGCTCTCACAACCGGGTCCTCAACCCCCCAGGAGGAAAGTCCAGTGTGGTTTTCTACTGACCAGCTGAGCGCACACCTGTCGAAACTCTCGTTTTTGTTGTTGTTGTTTTGTTTCTCTGCTAATTTTCTCTCATTCCTTCTCTACACTCCTGACGTCACCTGCACAATACATGCAGACTGTTCAGATCCTGGTTTGTTTCGTCCTCAACATTTTGCACTTTTCACTTGTTTTGGTTATTGTAAATCCTCCTCATTGAAGCCTGCAGTGATGCAATCACCTCAAAGTCAATCAGCTGMCTAATTATTTACTAATCTCTACCTGTGATGCTGTTTAGTCACAGTTGTCACTGTCATGCACGAATGAATTTAAAMAACGGTTGTGATGTTGGAGCTAGTCTTATTTTCAGCTTTAAATGGACCTAAAACCCAATGATGGATTCGGAAAAGTTAATCTTGTGCTGCCAGAATCTTATTGAAAATGAAACCAAAAGCTGCATAATCTGTATGAAAGTTTTACACTTGTATGATCAGAAGCCTTAAAAGCTTAGCATGTAACGTTCTTTTGCCTTATCATTAACATATTTAACAAATATCGCTGTTCGAGGACAATCTGATCAAGAACCAAAAAAGAAATGAAACGAAGATGGACACAATCACTGACTTCCCAAATGTCTCAAAACAATTCCGTGTTGGTTTTATGTGAATGTATTGTGCAGGGAGTTTTCTGCCTCGTCCTCATCGTTTGCAGTGCCTGAGAACATGCCTTTTTTTTCTGTTTGCTTGGGGTAGGCCTCTGTTTATGTTTTAAATTAAAACGGCTGAAAACGAGTAAACTGTGGACAAGCTCGCGGCCTACCTGAGTGCAAGTGGGGCTCATCAATAATTGCTTTTTTTTCCCGCCCGCATCGTTATGCACATCCGAGGTATCCTGATGCCAGCCTGCCCCSCTTCTTTGTGCTGCAGTGTCTGACGAGCAGTGAGCGCAGCAGGAGAATGAAATCCAGAGTACTGCAATAAAAAATGGTTGTTTTGCATTTAAAGTCTGAGTTTGTTTGCATTCCTGAATTGTTGGTATTTTTAAATCCATATTGAGGCATTTGAGGCCATTTTACTTTTATTTTAYTCTTTTTCATGAAAATGCATAAAATGCTTAGTTTGCCTTCAGTCTCGATATATTACTATTTAATGTGCAGTATCTTATTTAAAATACACAGAATGTCTCATAACTCTTATGTGGTAAAGTTATTCATTTAAATGATTACTTTTTTGCTTTTTCAGTCAAGTTGAAGTGATCCTAACCAAGGACAAGTGATTTTGTAGGCAATGAACCAGCATGAAATTAATGCAAATATAAAATAAACCTGTAAAATAACCTTATAAATGTGCAAAGGACCCCCTGATTACAACTTTGATTTGTTTTAATGCTTCACTTGGTTCAGAACATGTTCAATGCTGGGTTTTTCTTATTTTTTCTCTAATTATATTTACATATTTTAWCTAAGCATCAAGATTTGGACCCTCTGCAACTTTCTAACCAAACCTTCCTTGAAGAAAACATCACTACGCAATCATTAAAGATTATTTAAAGGTTAACACACTAAATAAATCATTGGAGACACCAGGACACATAACTGATGGTGGTATATAAACAAAATGGTTTTGTTACACTTAAATGAGTTGGCCTGTCTTGTAGTATTTATGTTTATTATTCATCCTGCACATCTGTTTCATCGTGTTTATTGTTATGACCCGAAATAGTCTTAACATCTGAGGTCTGCTCTCATTCAATATTTTAACTGACCGTGTTTGTAACGGGGTGGGGTTCCAAGTTTGGTGGGAAAATGTTCAGCTTAGAGGAAGTTAAAAAGCATTTACCCTGGGAGCTGAACGCTCCTCACTAAGGCAGTTTTTCTGCTTCATTAGCCAGTTTTTGTCTCCATTGTCAACGCTCTCCTTTACAAACCACAACCCAAGCTGCAGTAGTTTGACTGGAGGAAAGTTTTTACTGCTAACATTTTATAAACTGCACTCTCACAAAAAAATTAAATTAATAAATTTACAATAACTGAGTTTCTCATCATTCCTGAGAAAAACAGCAATAATATCTGATAACTTAGACCCCTGATGTAAGTGTAAGCTRTCTGTAACTAAGTCAGGATTTCTCACTTTCCCCCTCTGATCATAATGTTCTGGCTGACCAGTGTATCGCACTAAATGTTGAGCCAGAGTTTTAACTTTTAGAAAAGTGARGAACTGGAGGTAAAAACTGGCATTTCATGTGTAAATTCTTCAGGTTATGTTGTTTAAACAACAAAAAGATTAAATTCATTCATTACTTCTTATGGACTGATTAAGAACCACCTGACCAGACATGATCGTTCTGATAAATTAGAAATGTTAATTTCTGATTACAAATCAGTAAATAATCTTGTGTGTTCACTCAACAACTTCATGTCTTCAGTTATTTCAATAGTGAATTGTGTTTATTATCAAACATGTTTGGCAGTCATTGTTTCTAGGGTTTTGGACCAAGCTGTCATTAGAAAACTATTACTTCCAATTTATTATTTTCAAAATAAAATGCCAAAAACAAATTTATCTTACTTCTCTATGGGACTTTTATCTTCACTATGAGATTATATTATAAAGTAAATATATAGATATTTGAGCAAGTGGATAAACTGTGTTTTTTTTAGGATACATTGTAGATAAGATTTTATTTGTGTAGAAATTGATGCCTCATATTTATGTATTTCTGTAAATCATTAAATACATATGATTTGTTGCTGTAAAATATTTTAAACACTTTTATGGTGTCTGTATATGTTTTGGTACACAAGACAAAGATTTAAATGATAGTGAAAAAAACAAATAAAAGCAACAAAAGCAAAGAGGATCATATGATTTTTGAGAATATTTAAAGCATCAAAAACTATACTTTTTATGTCCAATAATGTCACAATAATTTGTTTTAATTGTTAAATTAAGAGAAATAATTTTACAGAGCTAAAAATGTGAGCTTTGTAACATTTAACTCAAAAATCAAAACTAGCAGAAAAAGGTAAAAATTGAAATTCAGACAGTTGTTCTTGCTGTAGAGACATTTTTATGGCTGATTTGAAGCCACTTACATTGCTTTTTATGGAAACAATCAGTTGTAAGTATTTAATGATTAATTAACATTAGTTAATGATTAGTTATAAGTAAAGAAGTACAAGGAAAAAGATACATCCGTCAGGTGTTGCCGAGTGCCAGAATCAGAATGTCCACCATCATCTGGAAAACATGCAGGCATGAATAAAAAGTAACAACATTATAAATAAAATTATGAGAATCGTGAGTGAACATCCCAGCAAGTTCAACCCAAGGTCAGACTGTGCAATGTTCAGAAAAATGAGGAGGGGGGGACTTGAGAGACAATACAGGCCTCAGTTAGCAAGTTAAAGTTTGAAGTATGACAGGACTATTGAAAATGACTGAACAGAGCTGCAGATGAAAGCCTTATCTCTTTAGAAATAACAGAAGCACATCTTTGGATTGTAAAGCTGCAGCTGAATGAGCCACAAAACCTCTGGAACATTGTCTTTAGTACAGACAAATCTGAAGATGAGACATTTACCCATAATTGTGAGTTCCATGTTTGGAGAAAACCAGAAGTGACGTATCAGCACAAAGACCTCATACCAGCTGTCAGCACGGTGGTGGAGGGGTGATGATTTGGGCACTGTGTTGGTCACAAACTCACTTGTAGACCAAAACCTCAAAAATCTTCCAGAGTCAAACCTGAGACGATCTGTTCTCAGGCTGGGATCAAGCTGGGACATGATGCTGCAGACAATGAGCCCAGAACAGAAACAAATATCTGCAAACCTCAATGAACTAAAGCAAGGTTGGAAAGTAGGGAGGCCCAAAATACAGATGGATGGATGGATGGATGGATGGATGGATGGATGGATGGATGGATGGATGGATGGATGGATGGAT